CCTTGCTAACCCCCAAGGCCTAACTACCTCACGCCCTCCAAGAACTCAATGTGACCTCCTAACATAATTGCGACATTGTTGACAGGTCAGCAAAACTTCTCTAAAGTACACAGTCCCCCCACTGGACCTAGTTTTATCCCTTACTCCTCCTGGAATAAACGAACTTGATGGGAGGGGCCCTAACAGGTTTGGCTACCAATCAGTTAACCTATTAGTAAGCTTCTCAACTAAGAAATCAATCTACGCATTAAAACAAAAAAACAAAACAACAAAATCGGTGCATAATTCATACCTGCCAAGCCATATAATAGAACAGAAACTCTGAATTTTGAAGAAAGGACTGATGGACAGATAGCTGGTGTCAATATGGAAGCCAAAAGTTTCACAGTTTCTTCTTGCAAAGGTGCAAAACCTTCAGGTCCACCAATAAGCAAATCCGGGGGAACGGCTGAAGGAACATTCCCTCCAAGCACAAGAGCAGTTTGAGTGCGATTAACCCGAAGAACTGGTTCATCAGACGGTTCCATAGCTACAACCTTCATGCAAAAGTAATATTCTAATCCATTCTAATCCAATATGTATAAATGCTTTTGCACACACACACACAAAAAGAAAAGAAAGAGGAAGACAAAGTTACCTTGAAATAGATAGTGCCAGCAGTTTTAGATTTCGAACTCTGGCTGCAAGGAACGCAAATGAGAGACTTGCAATTCCAATCTATTTGGACACTGAAAATATCACCTCTCACTAAATACCTATCAACCTCAAAATAGTTTTGTAATGCCAGATCAATCATCTCTTGACGACTTTCAGCTTCAATAGTCGAACTGCCTTTAAAAGATTCAAGTGTACCACATTCTGGTATCTTCACAAAAGAGACCCTTAAATGTGAAGCATATCTTGGCAAAACACGTAATGGTTCCAACTGTAAGCGAACTAAGGAAGTTTCAGTACCCTCCCTACTCATCTGCTCATCCATTTTATCTTTAAAATAAGATGCTATAGCCTCTTCCCCTACTTGGACGAGAGACTTAAAGCACGACATGTGCAAGTCAAGGTTGAAGGCTAATTTAGGAGAAATATAGGCGACTTCGCGGTCCAACAACTCAAGTTCAGTTTCGGGGTAAGTACATGATGGAAAAATAAGCATTGCCCGAGAAGAATAAGAAGAGGATGGTTCAGTTTCAGCTGATACTTTTTGTTTATATGGAGGATCAAGGACTACGGCCTGGGCAATTCTCTGTTTGCCAGTCTCAACATTCTTTACAAGCACCTTTTTTTTTCCCCCACCAAAAGAAAAACGCGTGTCAATTGCAGAAAGCCAAAAATTAACAGAACTTGCATATATAATAAAGAAATGATGCTTCATTAAAGCTGTGCGTGCAAAAAAATGTTCATTTTTTAATGAACGCTCAATTGGGATTAAATGCATACTTTTTCCCTAAACATTACACTTTCATTTTTTTCTTTCGCGGGAACCAAACAGAACGAACAGAAATATACAAAACAGAAACAGAAACAGATATACTTTGAAGCTGTGCGGAAAAGAAAACATCTCTCTTTGTTCAAAATGCGAACACGCAAAATGAATTCAAGGATTTACTTTCCCAGCAATACCATCTGTTTTCGCGGCAACCAAACAGTACGAATGACGATACAGAAAGAGAAAACATACCGAAGAGCCCGAAGTTATGGACAACCGTTTGAGGACAGAAATCGAGAAGCCGACCAAAGCAGAGTCGTCGAGAGAAGCCAATTTCACGTCGGAGAGCCGGAGGATCCCCGCTGGCAACTGCAGACCACAGGAGGCGTCATCGTCGAATGGGAACCGGTCTACTTCACCGAGCCGCGACGGACTGAGTACGGAATTAAGGAGAGTTTTAGTGGAAGTGAGTACCAATGGCTTTCTTCTTCCCACCATTGGCACCGAAGCTAAAACACGGTCGAAAGCCCTAACTTACCAGAAGGAATTGTGTTTTCCTCTCTCACCTAATAGAGAGAGAAAAAGAGAGAGCTGTGAATAGCTGAAACTCGATGATGATGAGGATGATGTTACTGATTACTGTGAAGTAACAATTGCGCAAAACGATGCAAATGTTCTTGGAAGTTGGTCTGCGCCTTGCTGACGCCGTTGTCTAACTGATTCTACGTCAGAAATCGCTCCTCCGGTTCGGAATTTATTTATTTATTTTTATAAACAGGTAACTTTTT